ATCAAATAAAAACAAAAAAAGGTTCAAATGGGAGCCTTTATGTAGTTTCAGCAGCCTTTGCAGGTGGTGCACAAAAAGACTCGGTGTCAAACACCCCGCCCTTTTTGCCATGCTTTCAAAAGCCTAGGACGCTAATCGCCCGTGTCAGCTGGCTGGATCATCAATGTGACGGCGCGACATTCTGATTTTAACTAAAATATGGTAAATCTGAACATGATGGTAAGCCGGAAACGGGTAGGAAAACTAAAACGCAAAAGGAGATAGAAAAAAACAAAACAGGCAACGTCTTTTGAGACGATGCCTGTTCTTTTTTTGCGTTTTCCTGTTCCTATACCAGTCTCAGGTTTAATACTTGAAAATGAGCGCGTTGGTGAATAGATACGAATGCATGAAAGGATAAAAGATCAAGGACACAGGACTTCTTAAAAGAAGTCCTGTTTCCGTCCCTGTCCTCGATGCATATTCGTATATCAAGTTTACCACCATGTTGAACTTACACCAGCTCGCCTACACTATGACTATTTTTCCGGTGATAGTAAATGTGCACGCGAGGTTGTCTGACGTAATCACGCCATACACGGTACTCAAGTGAAGAATAACATGATAAAGCTTGCTGTCCTTCAGGCGTGCGCTATAGACATTCGCGTCTTGACATGTTAAAAGAAAAAAAAAAACGCATAAAAATATCAATCGCTGCCAAAGCATTTAAAGCGTGCGAAACGAATTTAAGCTTCACGGAGACAGAACCCTGCTAGAATGCCTAGGCAACCAACCGTGAACTCCTTTGTTTGCTGGGCTCACTTTGTCAAAGGTTCGTAAACGTGCTGAATTTAAAGAGAGATTGTTTCTAACGTACCTTTCCTTACTTTTTGTTGGTGCAGGCGAGCCTTCGCGATATCAAGACCGCCCGGATTTCACACCGCCCTAGTTTGTTTACACATTCCCGAATACGGTGATGCTCGTGCGTTCGCGCGGTACACAGGACGGCTAAGTGACGGACGCAATAAGCTCGATTAACTTAAGCGATCAAGGGGAGAAAAATCTGCTCTTTGTAGTGGCTGGGCCTTATAAACTGGGCTCAGAAGCTCCGCACAGGGTAGATGGTTGGGTCGGTATCGAAACTGGTCACCATTACTTTCCTTACATAACACTCTGCGACTCTGCCTTGAAAGCAGACCCCTCTTTTAGTAGCCAATTGCAAGACGCGATACCGAAGTGACGATTAAGTGGCTCCGAGTCGATGGTAGAAACTGACGCAGCGTCCGATGTCTATGCACCCTTGAAGGTATAAAAATGAACGAGGTCCTCTGTATTGTAGACAGTAGCTTTTGTTAATCCTCCAGGTCGTCCTCAGCCATTTTGAAGAAAATATGCGCGCCAAACGAAGACAGAAAGGCACGTTCAGAATGGGGAAAGACGGAACAACGTTACCAGGGAAGGCAGGTAAACACATGGACCGGGAGGCACGCCAGGCCTGGCGCGGACGACGGAGAGACGGTGCCAGAGCCACCAAAAGTGTTTAGAACGATTCCCGCGAGGGCGCGCCACGATCGCGGCCGAACTATGCAAAAGGTCAATTGCACTGGATCTTTTTACAACCGCGTTCGCAAGCGCTTTGTGAACGCGGATCCGCTTTCAGTGTGAATGAGCGGTAAGTGCGACCGCAGCCGATGAACCGATGGAGCCCATCAACCAGCGCCAGAAGTGCATTGTCACTGCGCTGTCTTTACGCGCTAGCTGTCAGTTACTGAGCCAATCAGACACAGTAGATGCGTCGCAACCCTGCGCTTTTGTGAAGCATGAAATTATTTTAACACTACCCCCAATCCCAAATGTTTTGTCCGTCCTTCAGTCCGTCCATTTTTTCGTGCATTTCCCGCTAAATTTAGCGGGGAAATCGATATCACGGTACCTGTACACGAATTCAGTTTCTAAGCTTATTTTTTTGCGGGAAGTACTTGATTTGACGTAGCGGGACACACAGACCAATTAAGTTTCCCCGCTGAGAAATTAACGTCATGTGGCCTATGCGCCAATTCAAATACTCCGCTAAATTTGGCGGAGGAGTGCATTACGTGATGTCACGTGACGTGACGTGACCTATACACCTTGGGGAAATTAACAGCACGTGACATTTACGTCGACTCAGTTTCCTCGTTAAATTTAGTGGGTAAAATCCGCGTTTTGTGGTCGACACAACATCAGTTCAGTTTCCCCGATAAATTTCGGCGGAAATCAACGTCGCGTGACTTATATATACCGATTCAGCTACCCGCTAAATTTAGCGGGAAAAACTCGCATCTTGTGACCTAGACACCGATCCAGTTTCTCCGCTAAATTTAGCGGGGGAAGTCGACGTCGCGTGACCCGACGTCACGTGACCTATAGAACCGTTTAGTTTCCCAGCTAAATTTAGCAGGAAAACATATGTCACGTTACGCACCAATTCCCTCGCCGATTCCCTATAACGCGTTTCACGCATCGTAGGACCTTCCGTTCCTTCCGTATCTTCGTCAAATATAGTGATCCAATGACCCACTATATAGTTGTTTTTTTTTTCACTTTGACTTTAAAAAGGCTTACCGCTACAATGACCGAAAAAAAAATGTGTTCTTTTCTTAGTTCTGAGCGGGGCAAGCATTATGTTTACGGTATTTTCACCAAACATATTTAACCCCTCGTCATATACATTCTTGGTGAATTGGCGGCACATCGCGGTTACCTAAATTATGAACTTTATTTAAAACGTGTTAGATTTTCTTTAGCCCACACGCTGCGACCGTGTCGTTATTCTCCAAAACAACGCCACACTGGCTTGGCGCCAGGTGCCTTTTGTCGAAGTTGTCAAAAATTTGAATGGTCGCGAATTGGTGTGTGTCAAAGACTCGCACCCTGGAAAAAATGTTCACTCGTTTACGTTTCCACTGTGCTTAAGGCGGACACGGTTTTCAGACTCACGAAAAAACTTTGGGAGCGATGAGGCCGAAAAAAAAAATTACTCAAGCTGGAAATGAAGCGTGTGATGCGAAACAGAATGACTTGAACGTGACAAATATCACTTTTGTGCCACATTCCAGATAATTCATCTTCGGGTCGAAACGTCTTTTTGTCCTCGTCATTCGCTGTCTTCTCTCCTTAAATCGCAGTTCTGAGCTCTATGTGGCTGTAAACCCATGGGACACTTTCGTATGCTTTTGAAAGTTAAGCCTTTTTTTTTATTCGTTATGATTATGCTCCTAAAAAAACCCCAACATGACGCAAACCTTTCTTTTATGGAGCCATTGTTGATTCCAAGGGAATCTAGAAGCATATATAGAATGATATTGTAGTGAGTGCGCAGGCGAGCTGGTGGAAATTAACCATTCTGATGTTAGCCTGAGACTGAGACTGAGGCGCATCCTCGACTGTTCCTTTTTCTTCTACTTTGAAACTTCCTCTTTTCCTGCCTCAGTCTCAGGCTAACATCAGAATGGGCATATATAGAAGGCGTTTCAGCTAAGTTGTGCTGAACCAATGCAGCATTGTTCACCGTTCCTATCGTTCGATAGGACGGTGAAGTTTGGCGATGTGTCAAACTGGGTTATTAACACTTTTTAGATATGTTTTCCACAAATTTTGTAATAAAATATTTGTAGAGCGCGTCAAGAAACGCACATCGTGTCGTTTTTATTAAGATAGCCTTTGCGCATAATTTGTTTTTGTTTATAAGAAACCCCAAAGTTTTGCGCGAGATCTTTTTTTTTCTTTAATTCCTGGTAATTACCCGTCAGCCAAGTGCAATTTTTGTGGGCTTAGTCACGTGGAATTTTGTTTAATCTTGCGCATTTTTTTTTAAACACCGAAAATTAGATACACGAAGAAGTGCCACGATGGGATGTTTCTCGCTCGACACGCTCTACGACTTGTTTATTTGAGGGGTTGCTCTCAAAGTACTATTTAAAGGGTTAGCCAATTAATCTACGTTAATTAGTGAGTTTGGCGCATCGCAAAAAGATTTTTGGAATGCTCAATAGGACTGTGAACAATACAGCGAGTTCGGCAGGCCTAGCGTGCACCAGCTTTTTTCAAGTCTTGGCACAAGTTGGCTAGGCACCCTGTATAAAAATTACTCTTATATGTTGTGCACTAAAATATACATAACTCGATCCGAAATAAATCGCCCGTGTACTTCGTCCCGCGGTTAACGATTTTTATCTTTGTTACTCATTCGGCGTGAAGGTATTGGGAAGATTCGCTTTCTTATGTCCAACTTTTTTTTGACAAAGGTTCTATCACTTTGTGTGTCAATTAAAAAAAAAAACAAAAAAACTAAACTCTTATCCCCCTCCCCCAGAGAAAAAATAATACATAATACAAAACATGAGATCGTTCGATTGACCATTTATTATTGGCAACATTGTGCACCAATTAGATAATAACAGTTTATCCGGAAAGACGAGTCGTCTTCTTTTTTTAATTTACCCGAGATTAACGCACACAGACACACACACTCACACACCTGAACAAAAAGCGGACGCTCAGTTTGTGAAGACATGCGCAACGTTGCATTGTATCACAAAAGAATGTTAGGTTTATCTCAATACTTTCTTTTTCTACAAAGCAAAAATAAAAGTGTGTAGTAGATGTGTCGCTGCATCCGGGATTGAAGCAGTATTTTGGGTATTATGTTTGTATGAAAGAAAATAGACAACTTGATTTTCGATGTGTTACTGCTGAGCGACAGATCATACACGAACGGTTTCTTCATATTTGAGGTGCTTGTAAGTCGCGTATAGGTTGTTTGTCTTGTGTGGACAGTTTTGTATTTACGTGAAATATCGCATTAGGTGTGTCCTTTCTAACAATACTTTGTGTTATTCAAGGCGGAAGCACCCCAAAAACTGCCAGAGCCTAGTCGACGTATCAAATTTGCAACCATTTCGTGCTCATGCCGCAATTTGGAACTCTTTCTCTAATCTCTCCTTCTTTCTTTCTTTCTTTCTTTCTTTCTTTCTTAACAGCATGAAGCTTGCAACCAGTACTGCATAGTTGAGACTAAGAGTCAGGTACGTCAGTGTCGACGTCAAGTGGGTCCAGGAAAAGAAAACGAAAACAACAAAAACGAAGAAGTATGCTACGTCAAGTTTACGAGCTTCTCTGTCTCCCAAGCAAGTTATTTTGTTTTTGTTCTTTTATAAGTGACTGCGGGATGAATGTTGTGCTCGTTGTTCTCGTGCTTCATTTTTATAGCATTGTACATAGTTCCGAAGTGTATATATATAAATATATATATCACTTCCACGTTGTAGACCTGGCACTTTGTAATGCTAGTGAAAGGCGCGTTGTACTTAGCACTGTTCATCGTGTCCTGAATGTTCACCCGTGACCTGTACATAAACCTGTGTTGCTTCGCCTGTAGCGATTCGTGCCATATCTTTGACACGCATTGTTTATTCGTGCTTGTGCTATGGATGAGAATGTGCGTTGTGAGGTATGTGCGTAGGGCACTGCGTGAGCGTGTGCAACGTCCCCACCGACTTTACACGATGATGTTAACACCCGTTTTTGCGAAAGAGCCAACCCGTGTTTTGTTTGCAGAGTTGACGATGGAAATGTTTTCCTGTACGTTTGTATTACGGTAGGACGATGTTCAGTGCTGAAACAAACTGCATATCAAAGGTTTTTGTAAATGTGCGAGAGGTTACTTGTTCCGGAGGGCATTGTGTATATAACTATGCCACGTTCACATTGTATAAATGTTAGGCCTAAAAGAAAAATGTAGTTAGTTGACAAAAAAAAAAAAAAACATCGCGCATGTAGAAACACGCCGGCCTGATGACGAAAATGTTGCGAAATTGTTCCCTCGGCGGCATATCAGCACCCGTTTGCATAGTCAACCATGCAACACGTGTTTTATAACGCCTATGTATCGTACCAATTCTAATCTTCGATGCTATCCTGCACACGGAAGTTTACCAATAACGAGAATCAAACGTACGAGCTAAATTCACCGTTTAAAAAGATGATGTTTGAACGTTACTGAAGGACAGACACAAATCTCCACGCGGCTACGTGACTGGTGCGCGGCTGAGAAGATGCGCCTGGTCCTGGTATCGAATCAAGGACCTCTCCATTTCCTGTGGGACGTTCTACCGAGTGCGCTAACCTTAGATGTCAGTAGAGCAAACAGGTTTTAAGAGCTGCCACCAGTCTAACGCCAAGAAGGGTGAGCGGCCTGCATTTTAAGGTTATGATGATAATGCAATTAATGCAAGGGTGCGAGCTAGCTGGACAAGAATTACGATAATTATTTCTGGATAAGGGGAACAAGGGGAACGAAGAACAAACACAAATATGCAAACACACCAGTCACCTAAATGTGTTTGGAGATTTGTGTTTGTCCTTTGTCTCCATTGTTCCCCTTCACCTGAGATTATTATCGGCATTCTTGTCCAGCTCTCTTGCATCTTTGCCTTTATGGCATTATTACAAATAACAGTGGTGGTTTCTTCGCGCTGTGTCATGTTTGCATTTACTTTTTTTTACATTGTCACGGGGCTGTATATGTACAGCGCTGTGTTTTACATCGTAAGTGCGACTGGATGACGGAGGCTTGGATGAAAATATTGATGTGCAAACATAGCTGCTTTAAAGCCAAATATTTGAACTTGAAAGTCATTTTGTCTGGGTTTTGAGGTTAATTTTTCTGTTCTTATTAGGGACAACGCTGTTACAAGCAAGGAAAAGAGAGCAAAAAAGAAATACGTGAAATATCTCTCTTGTTTCAATCGAGACAGCAGTGCAGCCGCGGCGCATTTTCGTAACCTTGACGAGGATCGGCAAATATATCTTTTTTGCTTTCTTATTTTGCTTGCCTTCCTTTTCTTCTTAATCCTTTTTTCTAATCCTTCCTTATCCACGAAGGGTTCGATCACGTTTCCTCCGAGCGCTGAGTTCGTTGAGCCATGTCATCCTCCCGTGGTTTCTTACTTCTTTGTTCCTTCCCTCCCTGTCACTATATTTGGAGTAGGAGATACTTTAGTCGGTGTTCTGCATTGTAAAACCAAGTCTTTTGAGCGAAAGTTGCATCGATCAGTTAAGTTCTTTCTTTAAACTTTTCTCAACAAAATCTACCATAATAGATGCACCTCTGTAAGAAATTACACTGTTGTAGTTCCTGAACAAAAAAGAGACGATTTCTGCGGTTCAACTTATTTTGCACTTGACTAGTTTGAGACAAGTTGTACAACTCTACAACCTGTTGGAAATCGGGGAATTAACCGAAAAGCGATACACGGGTGCTAGAAATGACTATGCCTTTCAGTGTATAGGCAGCATAGAATTATTTTATCATTTTAATCTTTGTTAAAAGTAATCCAATGTTGGTTTCTTTTTTTTTCTTTTTTTTTTTTGCATTTCAATGTTTATTTGACAAAACATCAGGCTTTGGCAATGAAGTTTTGACGCGCATAAAGGCGAAGGAAAAAGAAAACATGATTGAGCTAGTTTTCTTTTTTTTTAGTTTGATTCAGATTTTTTATGTGGTTTTTGTGGGATCTGACATTCTTTATTAACTCTCCTGGAAACCTACGCTCCTCGAATGTGGTTTTCGGTTAGTATCCGTGTTACACGCGGGCCTTTTTTGAGTCATCACATATAACATTTTTATTCACCAACATATCCAAAATGTGTAAGCTTCCTAAGTTAACTTTCATGGCTGAAGAATGGCATTCTATTTAGGATTAAAAAATTAAGAAACGTTAAGGCTCTATACACTTGTGCGGTCGAACACAAGCCAACTCTGTAATCGGATATTGTACATTTGCGACGCGTATGGCACTGAATTCTTATTATGTACGCTGAATTTTATTTTAACCGACTACGCCTTGTGACAGGGTAATTTTTGAACCATTTTTTATATTGTATGTGATTATGTGTCGTTCGTGCGGTCCTTCGTACTGCGCTGTTCATGCTGTGAGAAAAAAAAATCGTTTGTACAGGACTGGGTAGCAGTGGCAGGAGTCGAAATGACTACAATTGGTGTAAAACGTAAATCGAACGCGAGCTTAGAATTGTTTGTAAAAACGTAAATTTTAATCTCATTGTTATCAGTGGCTTGTACAGATTTTCGGGTCATGGTTAATGCATGTATACCTGCGTTTGTGGAACGTTTTGCCACTTTCTTGCACTTCGAACTCCACAGAGTGATTGTATTTGCAATGGGCGTTTATAAATGATCGAAGAAGAGTTTTAATGCGAGTACTTGCGTATGTGAGTGTTTTTAATGTTTTTTTTTCTTAATTTAGAGCGTAGGCTTCAGTTTTCCGGTGATTTAAAATGCATATTACATGTTCTTGTTGCGCTTTTCCTTCACAGAGCTAGTAGGTCGTTGAATGTAGAGCTACCACCATCATTTTGAATATTGTTCATTTTCAAAGAAAGTTGGCCAATTGAGCGTCATTTTTATATATCCTTGTTAATGTTTGCGTTATCTGAGCACTCTCTTTTATCGTTCATCAAAAGCGCATTCCTAATATGTGCTTTTCAGATTTTGTCTACAAAACTTTATGAATTTCCGGCATCTTGATGTAACTGATGTTAGCTTCGTGAACGCTTTCACATAATTGTTGCCCCTGAAAATTTTTAATGTGTGTCTGAAGAGAAGTATTCTCTTTCAACATCTTCTAAACATTTGCATTTTTAGGGCAGTTCGTGAAGATTAAGAATTTGCAAAGACTTCATTGATAACTTTTTTCTTACATAAAATCTTGGATGACGTGTTTTGTTCTGTTTATGTTTCTTATCAGAGAATGCGCGTAGCTTTAAGCTTTATAGTCGCGAGTATAAGATTCATGTGCGAATGTGAATTGGACAGATAACTGCGGTGTGCCTCGAAGTGAGACTGTCATGGAATCTTTTTCAAACTTTGTCTGAATCAAAGTACATTAGTATGATCCGACCTTAGTGTTGTCTGCGAAGGTTAACTACTGAAATCTAATAACGCATAGAAATATCTAGATACGGTTGTTATTATTGTTTGAATTTAAATAGAAGTGTATTTTTTGTTTGGCCCATTTGTCATTTAAACGTGTTCCCTTTGTTGTTATTTGTCTAGTCACGCTGCCAGTTTTTCAAACATCGTCAGAATAATTGCATGCTGTATTTTACGTAAGATATCGTTTGTGAAACATTTTCAGGCATCGGGACGGCTTGCAACAGCGAAACTTATCGCTTGTGACGGCAATGGGAATTGCCACCGACAGGGAAACCTAAACTGCGTGTATATAGTAATATGTTACGTTTTGCATCCGTAGCTTCCATATGTGTAATCATTATGTGATGTAATGTGTTAGTAACTTATTATTACTTTTTTCATGTTTGATAGGAAGGACGGTCGACTTTAATTTCTGGTATCTTTGGTCATTGTGTTTGATACTTAGGGTAGCAACATATTATAGATGGCGTGCGGTTCTGACGAGAGTGACATTGATTTGTGTCTTTTTTTTATGTCAGTGCCAACTTGTTTCAAGGTTTAAAACTCTTTTATACTCAGAAATCCTTAGAGGCTCTATGGTGTTGAAGAGCTCAGTACCATAGCTTTTTGTTGTCGCTGTGGAACATTTGTGTGTGTAGAAGTTGAAACAAACGTGATCGTTTAAAAGAATACTAGCAGGTATATAGATTATTAAGTTATCAAAACTTTGCTTAATTATAAAATTGAATGGGCGTCCCTTGTGTACGATGTTTTAATCAAGCAAAAATATCGCAACCTGCACGTTGATCCTTATAAGAAAACAAAATGCTTAAGGTTACTGTATAAAATGTGACACAAAAAGTGACATCATCTTCAGATTTTTTTTACACATGGAAACAAGAACTTTTGAAAACTTTCTTTCTTTCAGATTACTTTAACATTATTCCTACCAGCGTCATTCAAAAGAGCCGCGAGATGCGGTCCTCAGCCATTTCTAAAAACTAGAAACCCCTCGACGAAAACCCATCGATGTTTTCTTTTCATGCATCGAGTGTGTCGTGTGTTTGTAAAAGTGACACATCTTGGCGTGCAGGGAGAGATACCTTTAATGTACAGGTGTTAGCGTTCCAGCCGACAAATCGACGCAAAATACCAGAAGCGTGTCTGTTTTAACAACAAATATTTTCTCGTTTGTGTAGTATACTGTAAAGCGTGTGCTTCATATGTGCT